TCCACTTTGTTAATGTATGAAACAAACCCTTATTTATGATATATTTATTTATTTTCTGCAAAAATATTATTCGTTAAGTTTAATAATTTACTTTTGCTTGTAACTTGGTCGGCGTTTTTATATGAATATTAAATTCACTTACATATATTTCTAAGTAATATTCTAGTTAATTTCATCGAAGTATTAATTTTTTATTTTATTTAAAAAAAATATATACTTGAAAATACTAAAATATGAGTCAGTGGTGGCCTAGTGGTTAAAAAGCCCGCCTCTCGTTGCCGAGGGCGCGGGTTCAAACCTGGCAAGTAGCAATGTGATTTTTCGGAGTCATATGTACTTTCAGCGAGTATTTAGAGACCACTGACATACGGTGAAGGAAAACATCGTGAGGAAACCTGGACTTATAGTTTCACAATTATAAGTTTGAAATCACCAACCCGTCTTGAGCAAGCGTGGTGATTAATGCTCAAACCTTCTCCATGTGAGAAAGAGACCTTTCCTCAGCAGTGGGCTCTGATAGACTGATGACGACTTGAAAATACATGTTTTATTAAATTAAATCAATTAAAACTTCTATAATTTTAATTAAAAGAATATATAATACTTCTATTTTGTATTTATGAGCGATGTTTTTCAATTTGATTTATTTCTTTGAATTCTCAAATGACATTTAAAATGTATAGTATTAATATTGTAAGTAGATATTTTCTGTGTATTTTAAATGCTCAGTTTTCATTTATCTGTAATGATGTCGAAGTTATTTTATTGTGCAATACGCTCCAGTTTAAATATGTATGAATCATAAAATTCCTGACGAATTATGTTGTAGTTCATTAACGAATCTGTCTGAGATACTTTATAAGCTGAAATTATTATGAAATAGGTGAAATTAATTCTTTTTAATAGGACCAGAACGATTCAGATAAATTCAGATCGCAATATGTTAATTTAAGATAAAATAGCTTTTCATTATCAAATATTCTAAAAGAAAATGTACTAGTAACGAGAGAAAAAGAAAATAATTAGTCATCCTAGTTTGTCTTTGATATAATTTATGTATTTCAAACTATAACTTGTTGCAATAAAAAAATAAACATACATCAAAAGTAGGTGCTACCGACTATAAACATCTTTTTGTATGAATGTGTATGAAGTTTTGTTTGTTTTAATTATAATTTTTTTTACGACATTTTTAAGTATGTTTAATATAACATATTTTATAAATAATAGTTGCGTAGATAATATTGGAATTTTATATATGTTATAATCTATATGCTTTTTATAATAATAGTCAAGTTTTTGTCGCCTTACAATTTTTTTATTTATAGCTTAATAATTACTCGAGGTTCAATTGTTTAATGATATGATGAATATATTATTTTTATATCAAAAACTTAAGATGTTAGTTTAAAATGTAATATTTGTATTAAATATTTAGTAAAATATTATACGTGGTACATATATAACATGATACTTAAATGATGATTAAAATATAAATTTTTAAATATTATGAGAAGACTTTGGAATATAATATTATTGAATGAATAAGAGCTTTAGTTGACATTTGATATCATTGTTAATTTTAATATGCAGTGAAAATATATAAAGCTGAAGAATTAACAAAAAAAGTTATACCAGTTTGACGTTAAAAAATAGTTTTTTTTTTCCTTTTATTTTTAAAGACACAAAACAATCTTATAGTTATAGACTAGTTTTGGGGTTAGTATTTGTGTATATTAAATAAAAATCAACATCCACCCCTAACGGATAACACGTGTTCACCCTTGGGTCGTCTATAAATACATGCGTACTGTGGAATTGTGCTTTCGTTCAGTTGAAGATACGCGCTCCACCAAATGTGACCATTGCTGTGCTTTATGGTACTCACGGTATGTGACATTCAGTTCATTTTAAATTTAAAATTATTTAAATTTGAATCCAATTTAAATTTAAAGCACGAATTTTTTTATGAAACTTAAATTCACTGATAAATTAAAACCCTTTTGGTAAGCGAGAAGATTTTTTCAATAAGTAATTGTTATCAAGTTTTTTATACTAATATTTTTGATTAATAATAAAAGTATTTTTAATTATATATATATAGTGAAATGTGTACGTCATAAGATTATGAGGTGAGCTCAGTCGGTTATAAAGAGCGGAATTTTAAAACGCTGACTCAAAAATATAAAAATAACATGTGCTCAATACGTTTGTTTGTGCGTACTTTAGGTTTAACAAAAAATAATACCAATGTTTATGATGAACTAGAAAAAAATGTTTGAATTTATAAAATATTAAACCCATTCTAAAGAGTGTTTTCAATTTTTGTAACTGGGTTTGTACTCGTAGGTGTGAAATAATTTAGGTCTATGTCATAAAACTTCTGAGATCTATATTCAGTTTTTTGTGTTCTAGACAAAATATTTAAAAAATGAGAACAATTACGTATCATTACTAATTTGCAACACTATTTATTTTGTAACATATTTTTTTAATTAATTTAAACTTATTAAGTTTTCAAACTAATCTTCAAATTTAAATATTTATAAGAATTAACTTGAACAATGTAATAAATGACAATAGTTTTTTATTGTTAGAAAAGATATTTTTTTAATAAAAGTGTTCGCGGAATGTTATCTAAATACTTGTTCAACTTCAAGAAAACCCGACGTTAGCAAATATTTGTAGAATGTACAATATGTTGCTTGCTTTATTTGTTATAAGAAAAATTTGAGTTATAGTCATATATGTGTGTGTGTGTGTGTGTATTTATGAAATTTGTTATTTCAATTTTCATTACTAATAAGTTACTTTTCTATCCTTTATATTCAAATACATATTAAAAAAATACCATAGCTTTGTTTCTACCTTTCATTTGTTCAACAGAACAATTACATTTGGCTTAAGAAAAAAATTATTTTATCATATACATTTTCAAATACAGACAGAAATACATACAAACAAGCAGTTTCGGTATTACAGTATTACAGTATTCCATATTATAACAACAAAATAAAATATATCCGAAAACATTCAGACGGAGTTCAATGCTCTTATAAATATAGACAAGAATGGGAAACAAAAGTAACACAACAGAATGGCCGTTCTCTAATGTGAGTTAGGAGGCAATTAGGAATCCCTTAGATGAGGGAATAGGGAATATTGAGGAAATTTAATAAAATATAACACATGAAAAGGAATGACAGATTGTAAATATATACTCACAAGTTGCTACATATAATTGTATACCGTATCTTGATTTATATATGTACATTTAAATATATACAAGACACTAAGTAGACTACCGATATTACGTTTTGAAGTTAGGGAGAAACTTAAGAAACGTATACATAGGATAGGATAAATTGATATTGAGATGTGAAAAATGTTAACATAATTAGGTATTAAACTGAATTTGCTTTACTGCTGTCTTCAGACTAAGTGTATAAATTAATGCGTCAATTTAGAATGATTCATGAGTTTTGTGGCAATACATATACATTCATATTGTATAACTAATTATAAATATTTGATAATAGTTGTAATATTTTTCAAACTAGCACACAGTCCTGTAATACGATATTTTTTGCGACCACACGTTGTGGGTGGCTATTATGTACATGTGCGACAATTTTTGTTTTACAATATGCTAACTGCAATGTCCACTATTATATTCTGCGGTTTTTATTGTAATGGAATAGTTTGGATAAAATATGTATCATCCAATTGGGATAGGAATTTCTGTGTAATTTTTTAGAGAAATATTTTGAGAGAAAAACAAATGTCTATTTATTTATATACCAGAAAAATATTATTACAATATTTTGAAAGAAGTGTAATGTACATCGATAAATTATCTCTTAATAGAGATGTCTGCTAGAAGCCCTTTTAATAAACGAAACAACGTATTAACCAGAGAAGGGAAAAATATATCGTATGGTGTGTGAAATAATGTTCTTGGGTTGTTGAACGTTAATCTAAATATTTTTATATAAGCCCCATTAGCCAATCATAGGAAATTCATGGGAAACCATCTTGGGTGCAGCCGTAATTAAGTTGAGTACACATTTATAAAAAGTATGCGTAAAAATAATATTTGTGTTGACCATATGGGTTGTAAGATTTCTAGAAGAGACTTTGTGAGAAAGAAATTGATAACATTGATTAATTTTTTGTCATCTATTATTCTACTATTTTATTACTAAATTACTAGTAAGTAGTTATGTATAAAAACTCAATAAAACTGAAAGAAATCAACATAAAAATATAAAATTGCCTAGAGTTCAATAAGAAGATAAAAGTACCGAAACTTTCAAAAGTAATTTCTTAGAAAAAGATTGAAAATTAATTCCTAATAGATGTCCAAAGGAAATATGTTAATTATGAGAATAATTATATTGTGTCACAACACATCTAGTGTGTATAGTTTCCGGTGACACCACATGGCTGGCATATGCGACGAATTATCAATTCATAAAGTACAGATAAGACACTCCACAAAATACACTTAGTTAAAAAAAACACTTAGAGCACCCTTAAATTTGTTGTAGAATTATCTTGAGTGTTAACTAACTTAATTTTTTTTCGGGTTTTTGTTAATAGCTTGACGCAATTTTTTTTGTTATTTATTTGCCCATCTTATGTCGGAATTCTTATTAAATATCTGCCATATACACGTTATTTATCTAGTTGTATGAAGTAGCTGTATATAAAAGTAAATTAGTTTACTCGTATTGTTAGCCAGAATTTATTTTTATTTTTATCAGGACTTAAACAAAAATCCTTTAAGTATAACTACGAAATTTTTAATACGAACATTCAAGATTTTCGTCGAAATTACTATGGTAGTTTTTAAATAGTTATTTTGAATAATAAAAAGATGATATCATACAAATGGTCACTATCATAAAAATTAAATATCATATTCTTTACAGATGAAACTCGCTAGATGAGTGAACTAAGATTTGGATTTCGACAATGAAACGGACATATAAGCCGATATGGCGGAATTCGGTCTAAAGCTGCGCGTGCGCAGGGATGATTCGGTATACAGAAATAGAACGCTAACACGCCGGAAGCTCGGATGTATTCGGCAGGATGTTACCATTTGGATCCTGTCTGCATTATTTTTTGTCGGTTGCCATGGTTACCAGGAACAAAGATTCGCGATGGAACCACAAGACCAGGTCAGTGTTAATAGTTCTATAATAGATTTTTGTTACTTATAAATATTATAAGTTTATTTTAACAACAAAAAGTGATTGATTGCTTTGATTGATTAATTGATACGTAAAAGTTTTAGACAATGATAATTTCCTTGAGTTCAAATTTATTTTATATACTTTTATTTGTAGTTATAGAAATAAAAATATTGAAGCTTAGAATACGGTTGTTATATATAAATAAATATTATTGAAGAAGTTGATCAATATTAAATCACAAAGTATATCGGATTTCTAAAAAATATGTATAACATTTATAAATTTCACCACAAATTAATTCAAACTACCAAGTAGTATGAATATGTATTTATAAATTTACGGTATTTATGCTAATAAAAATCAGTGACTTTGTATACTTGGAAGCGGTTTAAGAGTAGTTAAGTTATAAGATATAGCGAATTGGAAAAATATTGCTTAAGCGGAGCGATTATTACACTATTTTCTTAGGTACAAGTCATAAAGTTTTTGGGTACAAATAGTAATGTGAAATATACTTATATAGTGTCCAGTAACTATGAGCAAATTATAAGTAGTAATCCACAAAATCGGTTAAAGCACATTGATTTGAGAAACTCCAATATTTTGATACTTTTCGTTTATAGTTGGTAAAACTAGCTTATGTATATATTAATACTTATGTCTTTTCTGTTACATATTTATATTGTTATAATCAAAATATTTATATCTACAAAAATATATATAAAAAATTAAGTAGTTTTTTTACTATTCTCATTTTTAGGTCATTGTTTTTATTTCAATAATTATTTTTACATACATTTTAACACATTTGCATAGATATTCGTTAACTGTTTCATTTTTATTCGATTTTTTACTGTTTTTATGAGTTTCCGATTTTGTTACAGCTAGAAATATATACATATATATCTTAGAATTAGATTATTTTTCGTACATTAGAAGTTATCGAATAATATGATATGACTGACATAAAATATTGCTTTATGTGGTAACAGACACGTTCTTTAAGTAACTATGTTAAGTGCGTAACTAAATCTCCTGTTTTGCTTAAAAATACGCAATTTATTTGTCCTTGATAAAATATGAAATTAGAATGGTAATTACCCTGTTACCCGTCGGATAAAGCCGGATAACGTCCGATTAATAAGCAAAATTGGAATAGTAATAATAATTTTCATCAAATTTAATTTCTTGGAAGAAATATTATGAAATATTCATACTCTTAGTTTCTATTAGAAAATATTTTTTTGTTATCATTTCATGTGAAAGTAATGATTTATATATTCTGATTAAAATAGTCAATATAAAAATATGTTATGTAATTTATATTGGTATATAATATATTGGTTATATATTCCTTTTAAATAACCTTTTATATACAAAATTTTCACTTTCATTATTTTATTTCGAAACTCCGTTTATAGAATGTTTATTTTTTATTGTGATTTGTTTCAATCGTTTTTGTCAAAAAAAAAATATTCGCATTTATTTTTAGTAATTAAAAAAATTGTGTTTTTCAATTAATTGCTATCTACCTCTATCAAACTATTTGTCAGTTGAATCTCTAGGATTGAAATATATACATAGTTTATATTGTATATATTTCACTTGTATAACACAAGATATTTTATTAGAATAAATTACTTTTTAATAGTTTAGAAAAAGTTAACTAATTTTGATATGTAAAACCAAAAAATATGTTAGTATCGTAATATAAAATAGCTACATTTCAAAGATATTTACTTCATGGAGAGAAAAATTATCACTTTCAAACTTCGTGGTAAGTAAATGAAGTGTACACGAAAAACTAGTCTTGAAATCTGACATCCGTGTTCAAAAGGAAAGAGGAATGTCCGCATTAAATAAAAATTGTACAACCTTGAAAAATATTCAGTCTAGATTGTGTCTACTTGATTGATTAAAAGGTGATCGGAAGGCTTATCATAAGGTGCTTTCAAAACACATGCATAATACTGGGTGGCGCAAAAGTAAAGACCCTATTTGGTTCAGCTATAACATTTTTTCTAAATGAGAAAACTAGATTTAGGTTTTTTTAAATGTATATTTGTGCCATTAAATTTCGTACCATTAGGATTTAAAGATGATGTCTTTTAAATGGTGACCTCCAGAGTTGATACACATTTGAGCCCTATTTATGACATTTTGCATAACTTGCCGTAACACTTCCTGCGATATGTTCGTTATTTCTTGACGAATGTTTTCTTTTAGAGCTGCGAGAGTCTGTGGCTTGTTCACATACACCCGAGATTTCAAAAAACCCCAAAGAAAGAAGTCTGGACTGGTCAAATCGGGTGATCTTGCAGGCCAAGGCAAATCGCCAAAACGAGAGATAACTCGGCCTGGAAAAGCGTCCCTCACTAAGTCCGTAGTGTCGCGCGCTGTGTGTGCCGTAGCGCCGTCTTGTTGAAACCAGATGTAACCTTTAGTGGGTGTAGAGGTGTTTCTTGAATAATGCGCGGATTATCAGTGCCCCAGAACCGAGTATTCTGCTTATTGACATGCCCTGAGAGATGGAAATGCGCTTCGTCACTCATAACCAATTTTGTGTATCAACTCTGGAGGTCACCATTTAAAAGACATCATCTTTAAATCCTAATGGTACGAAATTTAATGGCACAAATATACATTTAAAAAAACCTAAATCTAGTTTTCTCATTTAGAAAAAATGTTATAGCTGAACCAAATAGGGTCTTTACTTTTGCGCCACCCTATATTACGATCTTGTTAAAAAAACAAAAGAATTTTTATCTTATATATTTATATCTACTTCTTTTACCTGGCAATTTCCCAGCTTTAGCCAGGGTCTGTTTTATATATTGTAAATAGTTTTGGCTAAATGTTTTTACGACTGGCCGCCTGCCTAACATTCACCCTCTTTGGGAATGCATAAATCAGTGATGTCTAAATACTCTTAGAAAGTATATATGACTAGGAAAAATTACATTGCTACTTGCCAGGGCTAGGATCGAACCCGCGCCCTCGTGCATGAGAGGCGGGCCTTTTACCACTTATATACCTGTACATATCTTCTTATCAAAGTTAGTTATATCTCGAATATTTTAGCATTTCATAAACATATTACTTTCGGAAAAGTAACAAATTTTTAGCGTTTAAATAAGCAGATAGTGTATTTAAGTTCAGAACAGAAATTGCTTTGGGTGTATCAAAGAAAAATATTAAAAGTCTCATTATCAAACAGCTTCACTTCACGCGGTTGGGAGTGCTTTTCGAGCTGTTTTCTGACTCAAAAATTCACTAGCAATAACAGCTAGATACCAACTTATAATGACTTGGATGAGTTTAAAATTTGTTCTAGTATGCAATATTTTATAAAACAGTAAGTACTAGGTCTGCAGGAACATAAAATTTCAATCACACGAAATTGAATACGATTTTTTTAGATGCATGTACGAATAGATTTCCATTTCACAATATAAGCGATTTTTATCGTCATGCCTTTGTTATTTAATAAATTCTCTTTCAAAAAGTCTTTCCAATTTGAAAATAATTTACATATATGAATATATAAAATTATATATACATATATCTGACTATAGCGTTGTATACATAACAGTGTAACTATTTAATAGTTAAGGAAACTATCATCATTTATTCGTATTATTATAGAGAGCTGTAAAAGATTCTGTTATTTTGATAATAAAATAGGAGATTTGAGTATATTTTACTAATAATAATAATTTCTGCAGAGCGCTATCGTGGGATCACGCGTTACTCTACCGTGTCGAGTAGAAAATAAAGTTGGAAGCCTTCAATGGACGAAGGATGACTTCGGTCTGGGCACACACAGGAATCTCAGTGGATACGAAAGATATTCCATGATTGGCAGCGACGAAGAAGGTGAGAAATTTGAAACACACACACACACACACACAAACACACACACACACACACACACGCACTCAAATACGTATACACACGTATATAATAGTAAATAACCTACTTTCCCTCCCTATTGCTAGTTCTATATTTATCCCTACTATCCCTACTATCCCTACTAATATTATAAATGCGAAAGTAACTCTGTCTGTCTGTCTGTCTGTCTGTCTGTCTGCTACGCTTTCACGCCTAAACCACTAAACTGATTTTAATGAAATTCGGTACAGAGATAGAGTTGACCTTGAGAAAGAACATAGGATAGTTTTTATCCCAGACTTTTGAAAGGTTCTCTTGGAAACGCGATATAACCGAACTCCACGCGGCGAAGCTGCGGGCGGAAAGCTAGTTAATATTATAAATGCGAAAGTAACTCTGTCTGTCTGTCTGTCTGTCTGTCTGTCTGCTACGCTTTCACGCCTAAACCACTGAACTGATTTTAATGAAATTCGGTACAGAGATAGAGTTGACCTTGAGAAAGAACATAGGATAGTTTTTATCCCAGACTTTTGAAAGGTTCTCTTGGAAACGCGATATAACCGAACTCCACGCGGCGAAGCTGCGGGCGGAAAGCTAGTTGTAAATAATTTTAAATATGCGAATGAATACAGCTAGTTTAATTTTATATATTTTATCGTTGACCTACCTACATATTTTACGTTACATACATGTTTACATGCCTATGCACTATATATAAAAACTACTATTATACATATATATTAATAGTTTAGAGAATACTTATGAAAAATAACATTAATAAATTAACATATTAGAAATAAAACTTTCTTATACAGTTATATAAATAAAGAGCTAAACTGTAACTAGTATTTAAATTAAATTAAATTTAAGCCATTCGTTATATAAATTAACGAAAATAAACTCTTTTATTTTTCAAAACAAAAATATCAAAGAAAATCTTTTCTGAACAATATACATATACATAAATCATCTATTTCTAAGTGATAAAATTATATTGCGTGCTTTTAATGGACGAGAACAAGTTTAAGATAAATCTCTACCACCTATAACAACTATACTGTTCTAATTTAACCGTCTCACGTATTTGTTTTTATATAAAACTTGTAATGATTGTTGTAAGAAAAATATCTATTTGTATGGTGGCTTAACGCATGATTTCTTATTTTCATTACGTTTTTGTTTACTTACGCCATAATATTTCTGTAAGTGATAGTGGGGTCTTGTTAATGGATATTTTTTGAGTGAAGTTACGTAAAAAATGGCATTGTATTGACAGTAAAAATAAGCATTGGTCAAATTAGAGAGATAGTTATTTTATTTGAATTTTTTTTTTTTCGAACTTTTTTGGGACTAAAAGTATGTAGCAAAATAAAGTTTTTATTTCATTTTCTTATCTTTTTAAAATTAATAAGTATTCGTTTATCAATATATATTATTTTAAATAGATTTAATTTCTTATATTATTTATTTAGTGAGTTCCAAGAAGTCAAAGAATATGAAAAAGTAGATGTACCGATTGTACAAATTAAAAATTTACATAGCAACAGAACCCTAAAGATTATTAGTAGGTAAATTGTGAAGAAATACATTTCCATAACATTTATACATCATCGACTATCAAAAACTGTTTTCTTTGAACCAAAATATAACCTTGAAAGCGTCAATGCGTCAAACAATAATTTAGTTTTCAAAGCCGAATTAGTTCAGTGAACTCTGCGTATATTCTAATTATATATTCCTCTTCATATGAACAACGCATGAAAAATATTATGCTTTCGTTAGATTAGTTCAATTTGAACCTTATTTATACCCTAATATGGTCGATTGTTGAATTATATCAATCCGTCTGTGAGTTATAATGTTTTTGGTATCAAGTATATTTAATTTAGCCAAAATTTATACATTCACTTTAAACACCCTGTAGCTTATAAGAGCAGATAGTATTCTAAATAAAATATATCAGTGATTAGTATAACTTTAGATCGTTAATTTAACCGTCACTTTCAAGTTTCGCATCTATATTTTAAATTATACCAAATCATCTATGTAATGACTTTCAATAAAAGTATTAGTGAAACTTTCAAATGCGTTTAAACATTTATATAATAAAAAATGTAAATAACATTGCTTTGACTTGTAACGATTTTTAAGTCATGTAAAATTACTTGTAATAAGAAAATTATAACTATTATATTCACCAAAGACTATCGTAGTAAAAAATATCAGTATATATGTATAATAATTTGACGTTTTCTGTGGTTTGACTTATTTACACCCACTAATATTATAAATGCGAAAGTAACTCTATCTGTCTGTCTGTCTGTTACGCTTTCACGCCTAAACCACTGAACTGATTTTAATGAAATTTGGTACAGAGATAGAGTTGACCTTGACAAAAGAATATAGGATAGTTTTTATCCCAGACTTTTGAAAGGTTGTCTTGGAAACACGATATAACCGAAGTAAAAGCGGGCGAAGCCGCGGGCGGAAAGCTAGCTTATTATATAAGTAATAATTATCAAACGTCTATACATAAAATCACACATTTAGCTAAAAGAAATTAGTAGAGAATAAAATTAGTACTAGTTTCAGTTGTTGGCAAATGTTATATGTGTAAGAGAATGTGTTTTATTTTAAGTATTTTTGAATTAAGGTTACTATTCTCTGTGCTGTGTAATATCTTTCATCGATCTTTTTACGCGTTTTCATTAGTTACGTGATTTCAGTGTGCTTGATACTTGTTTTTAGTTTCAACCTATATACCTAAAGTTTGATGGTTACGCAACGTTTGTTAATTCAATTATGTTGTATGGATTTTGTATTGAAATAGTAATTTTAATGTTAGAACAGTGATGAAATAAATATAAAAGTAAAATGATTTATATCTTAACTAGCTTTCCGCCCGCAGCTTCGCCCGCGTGGATTTCGGTTATATCGCGTTTCCAAGAGAACCTTTCAAAAGTCTGTGATAAAAACTATCCTATGTTCTTTCTCAAGGTCAACTCTATCTCTGTACCAAATTTCATTAAAATCAATTCAGTGGTTTAGGCGTGAAAGCGTAGCAGACAGACAGACAGAGTAACTTTCTCATTTATAATATTAGTAGGGATATATCAGATTTTTAATATTATACTTTCATGTAAGTTTGTTTTTGTTGTCTGTAGTATATTTTGCACCACATAAATACGTCTTATTAAATGAGTAATTACGTTTTATATATGAAGCATTATGCTTCTTCAATATTTTAAACGAATGTTAAAGGGACTTGTCAAAGAAGAACAAATTAATATAAAACTGAGTTTAAAATACATAAATTATTGTTCTAAGTGCTGGTAACTATATTACCAAAGTTTTCTTAAAATAATAATAATTATTATGAGTAAATAAACGCCTTTATTCTATTCGACAAACTCATTCGTGTTTCCTCCACGCAGTAGGTACTCAAGATTAAAATTCATCCAACATATAAAAAACGTTGAATTTACATAAAAAAAAATCGATTAGAGTTCTCATAGTGAAATATATCATTTCATAATCTAATGTTCAATAATATGTAGGGTATTGTCGGTTAAATGGCTTTATTTTTATTATTTAGAGTTGTTTAAGAAATATGCAATATACTTAAAGCCCTTAACAATTCGAAGAAAAATCAAATATAAATATTCTATCAAATAATGAGTAAATAAAAAATAATTTTGTAAGTAAATAAAGTAATTGAGTATTGTTTTCTAATTTTTAAAAGATATACCTAACTAAGGTTACCAATAAGGTTGAAAATGCAAAGTGTAACAAAACATAACTCATCCAAAACAAATTAAAGTAATATTATTACGTGTCGCATATACTACGCGGTTTATTTTTATAAATACATATTAGTTTCATTTAAATGAACAAAACTCGCGAAAGTCTTAGATCCTATCATCCAAAATAATATGTTTCTTTTGGATGCTATCGATCGATCTTTTGAGACAGCTATATGACAGGAACCTCGTTAATTTAAATTTTAATGTTAATAAATCTTTAATATTAATTTGCATAAAATGTATATTATATAGATACAGATTTTCGAGGTTACAAGGTTAAGAGTTAATGAAAGATCAGATATTAAAAGACCATTAATAAGAATAAAATGTCTCGTGGAATATTATCAAGATTTAATCTATTAAATTTATGACTTTCATAGAAAATTTTAGTATTTTTATAAAATTAATGTGATTATTATATATCATATCTTATTTTGGTTTCTTTATTTTTGTTTGACAGAATATTTTTTAACAAAAAAACAGCCAATAATTAAGAAAATAATAAGTGGATTTTGATAGTGTTTATTTTTTTATTCTACTTACGTTATTAAATTGGATAATAATTTTGGAGCAATTTGAATATTTTATTATTTAATGTTACTGAATTAGTTATGTACCTATTTCTTCTTCTTTAGTTAGTGGCGTTTCCGTATAGATTTCGCCAATGTCGTGTGCTTGTACCTATTTAGACTTCCCCGTAAAATATTCTATTTAAATAACAGCTAAATCATAAGTAATTTATTTGTGCATATAAATCTGTCATTTTGTATAACTGTATTTTTGTTTTAGGAGATTACTCGTTAGATATACGGGACGTTTCGTTGGAAGACGACGGTCTGTATCAGTGTCAAGTTAGCTCCGGACTTAACGGTGAGTTGTTGTATTTAATATTAAGAATGAAAAATATTTTCAAGATTTAAAATAGTGGTATTTATATAAGAAATTTTGTTGTTAATTACGATGTAGTAAGAGCGATAAAGGGGATTTTAAAAACGTGCTATTTTATTGTAAATTACGATGGAGTAAGATTTCTTTTTAAATGTGTTTTTTTACAAATCTTACTTATACTTATATAAGGTATATATGTGTGTAAAATAACGCAAAATAAAGACTTCATTTAAATAAAAACTTAGGAATTGAAAAGCAGTTTTCAAACTTATCTCATTGTATTATTTTAAATTGCACAAAGCCTACCTTAAATATTAAAATATTGAGATTTATATCATCAAAATACTATAATTCTTTTCTTATTTTATACTAAAAATGTATATTTCTTAACACAGGTGAACCGCCGATACGTTCAAGGTACGCTCATTTGACAGTACTCATAGCTCCTCAACCGCCAAAAATACTACAGGGTGCATTTATTGATGCCACGGAGGGCGAACCCGTTGATATTGAATGTGTTTCTGAAGGAGGAAAACCGGCTGCTGAAGTAAGTTTAATAACTTGGAACAAATTGCCAAAAATATCCCATATAATTTTTGTTTTAACTATGATCAAAACTGTAAAAACATATGTACAAATGTATAGTGTAAGATTTCATAATAAGATCTAAGATATTTAAATGAAACTAATATTTTGTAATTTATACTACGAGTATTTTATTATCGTAAAAACTACATACCCCCGACGTTTCGGTTACTTTTTAGCAACCGTGATCACGGGCAGACGATATGTGAATGTTAGTTTCATTTAAATAGACGATTTCAATAATGTATAATTATTATTAATGAATTATTTTGTTGTGAAACTTATTTATTATTAAACTGATTTCTAATTTACGTCACAGATAACTTGGGTTGACGGTAATCAAGTGGTGATTAAAGACAATGTCAGAAGCAGAATCGATGAATTACCAGACGGACAGAGATACAAAACAAGGTTAGTTTAATTATTATAAACTATTATATAGAGAAAGCGTTTATTACTTAGAAATACACAGAAATAACTTTATATACATTAAACAAATTCTTGACAAAACTATAATAAAAATATCAGAACAAGTAAGATATTTTCATTTGTTAATTTTTCAGTCAAAATTAAGCTAATATTATTGTTATATATGATCAAAAATAAAGTTATGTAATATAAAATATTCAAAACTATTATGTACATCATAAAATACACAGATATACTATAACATAAATGTTGATTTAGTATTAAGAGTAAGAGATTTATCTTACTAGTTAATATAATTTAATATTAAGTATCATAATGATCTATCAATACCAATAGTTCGGTGCTGCGGTTAATACCGAGCTCGTTCCACCATGAGCAGCATATCACGTGTCAAGCCCAGAACACAGCAGACCGGGCCTATAGGATGGCCACAGTATTGATAGAGGTAATGTACAATTATATATATGAACTTTAGAACTAAATAACTGATTAAAATTAAGTTTGAACGTTAATATTAGTCTCTCGTTGCCGAGGGCGCGGGTTCACACCTGGCAAGTACCAATGTGATTTTTCGAAGTCATATGTACTTTCTAAGAGTATTTAGATACCACTGACATACTGTGAAAGAAATCATCGTGAGGAAACCTGGACTTATACATAGTTTCACAATTATAAGTTTGAAATCACCAACCCGTCTTGAGCAAGCGTGGTGATTAATGCTCAAACCTTCTCCACGTGAGTAAGAGGCCTTTGCTCAGCAGTGGGCTCTGATAGGCTGATGACGACGTTAATATATTTGAGAACAATAAAAAATAGTGTAATGAAAGAGAGGGAATGATTTAGAAAGAGGGGGAAATGACGGATAAAGCGATCGGGACGCTACATACTACAGTGTCCCGATCGCTTTATCGCTAATTGTGCATGACTCGATTTGATTTATGGTTATACTAGCTGCGCCCCGCGGTGTTACCCTCGGATTTCCGGGATGTAAAGTAACATATGTGTTTTTCCAGGACATCAGCTTCCTGTATACAAAATTTTATCAAAATCGGTTCAGCCGATTGAGCATGAAGAAGATACAAACATACATACACACTCACAAACTTTCGCAATTATAATATTAGTAGGATTAATCCATTCTATACGATTTATTTGACTGTCTTTTAAATAAAAATTACATTGTATAAGCAGTAGTTAGGTAGGTATGACCACAATATTAAAGTTTCAAGAACTATTATAAGCGATTATGTATTTATGTTCACTAATTGACCGAGCGAAGTTTAACACGATTAAGCCACCACTCGCGTGTCTAAAGCTGATAAGATGAGATAATTTTGCGCGAAATTTGATATAGTATAGGAATTGAATTAGCAAGTACGCGTTGTATTACCGATACACAATCATTATATATTTTCTTTTTAATCAATTCTATACTGAAGAATATAACGATTAATACAACTAAAAAGCAGAAACAAATAGCAGGGCATTAGTTTTCTTATGTAATATTACAATTCACAAATAAATAACCTGATTTTTGCAGTATATTTCTAATAGACTTATAAAGAACTATAAACTTACCTATATAGTCTATAATAACAAGATTCTTAATTTCAATAAAATGTTTTTGAACCTACAATTAATAATTAATTGGTTCAGAGACTCAATATAATTGCTTAATCTACACTCGTTTTACTTATACTCAGCTTTCGAGCGGATGTTATTAGCGCAGTGAAATCAGTCTAGGCTTTTTACGTACAGAGATCCAACGTTCATATAATATTATTAACTTGCTTTCCGCAGTTTCATTTAAAATATCTCTTGAGTCTGAGAGTACGAGATTATTTCTTAATTAGCTTTCACTTTGCATAAACTTTTAGTTCCTTTGAAGATTAATACGTTATACGTTTTATGTACCATTCGCTACCAGATTAAACGAATGTTTCTATATAATGGATTATATGAACCTGTAGAGTAATCTAAGTTTTATAGAGTAGAATGTATATATATTTAAATGGATAAGCCTGGCTAATTATGTGATTTTGTTCGTTTAATAAAATGAATGGAAGTAATATTTTCACATTTCGAGATCACATCTCTATACTCGTGATCATAGTTGCTGCAAAGTAACCGAATCGTCGAGAATTTAGGTTTTATAAATAATAAAATAATGCATAACAATCCCAAAATATTAGTCTTAGATCTCACTATGTAAAACTTTTCTTATATTGGTTAAATTTTGCAGGTAAAATACGCTCCAAAGATCAACATCACTATGTCTACTGGTGTTGTATCCGAGGGTGGCGATGTACGGGTTCGATGCTCGGTTGACGCTAACCCACCAGCCCAGTTATATAGATGGTACTTAAATAATAAACTCCTTGTTGGAGATTACAATGAGGAATTGGTAAGTTCCACTTATATACAGCTTATACCCAAAAGTCTTTTCAAGTTTATTAGTTATTTAAATTTTTATATATCTTTTTGCATAATATATTAGTATATGTATGAAAATTTACATTTATTTATTTATTATATTTAACCAAAAATACTTAACGAAATAATGTCATGAAATTGTTTTATCACGTTAATTTTGATATCCTAATAATTCTGATTACTCTTACTATTATTTTTAACCTTTACAATTTAAAACATACCTGCACTTTAGCTGGAAGCGAATCTCTATAAGACGGAGATAATTTTCCGAGAGCTAATGTATTATACGAGAACATTCTCTGGAAATTTTTAATGAAAATATATGTTGGTTGTACTTGCTTCTAGAAATTTATTATTAACATTAAATTTATATATATTAAGCTTTGAAATAAATTATAAAGCACTTGTATTATATAGTGTGAATTTTATTAGTACTAAACCTGGTAAAAAACCTAGTTGGCTTCGTTAAAAAGATAAGAAATTCGCCACTTATCGTTATTTAGTTGAGTGCAGTTTATACCTATCTCTAAATTTTACGTAATGCATTAATGATAAAACAATATATGTATATCTTTTCTAATATTTCCTTGTATTTTATGTTTAATTAAAAGTTATATTTCCAAAGTTATTTTCGAAAAATATCTTATTTTAAATCAAAATTTCTACAGTAAACAGATATGCTTTTTATTTGAGAATTATAAATTTGTTTCTGTGTATTCTTTTTCAATATTTTTCATTGTAAAATTATTTAAAATGAATATATTCTCTATATTATTCGTTTATTCGTGTTATACAAAGAGTGGATTTCATTCGGTCCGAATACATTTTTATTTTATCCTTTATATTTAGCTTGTATATAAAAGTTAACAATAGTATACTTAGCGATTTATGGTATTACGGTACTGTTAACAGTCTTCGTATTGTTATTGCGAACAAAGACTAAGGTAAATATATTATATGTATAGTGTATAAGCCCCATATATCCCGAATCACATAATCAAGATATATCTATCTATATAAATAAAAGAAAGTTGTGTTAGTTACACTATTTATAACTCAAGAACGGCTATATGGATAGGGTTGAAAATTAGCTGGGATATAACTTAGTACCAGGAGACGGATATAGGATATTTAATTCTGTTTGATTCACAAAAAATATATATTAATAAATTCCATATCTAGTTATTTATGGCCTCCAGAGCGGAATAAAGGTCTTTTGGTCAGTTATACATATATTACTAATTCCGAAATAAACGCGGACGAAGTCGCGGGCAAAAACTATTATATATTATTAATGTACAATAATTCTTATAATTAATAATTCCTAGTGTGACAATAATATGGCTACAAAACTTGTATACATTTATACATAGGCTTTAGTTACTGAACTAGAGGTTTTTGCTACTACTTAAATTTTATAAGTAACAATACAGGATTTGAAATCGTATTTTTATTCTGTCAATCAAATCATTAGTCTATCTTTACGGTTAATGAGATAAAAGACATTATTTTACAATATGTAACACAGGTATTTAATACAAGCCACGTTATAACACACTAAGGGAATTGTATGCAATTTATCGCGAAACGCGTCAAAGTACTCTCATATGAATGACATCGGAGGAATTCTAGACTAACTAACTCATATTATACAGGAAATTTAACCTTTTAATGGAGTTCTTGTTCGTCGTTATAAACTTTACTAACCGAGTTCGCGATAATTTGAACGGAGCTTCATAATTTGATGTTATTAAATACCTTGTACGCTAAAATTTCAAATCCCAGATGGCTTTATTTCACGCTGTATCGACTAGTGCAGCGAAATAATTCGCATACTAACGCGACATCCTTCATAATTTCTGTTACTAACAAATATTCAGTGGAACATCTCTGTTAATAGTCTGAGAGCTCGCTTTAAGACGCAAGCGTCATAGAAACGATTCATATTTAACCGGGCTGCATCTGTAAGGCTCTTAGAGTATTGGAAGCTATCAGATAAAGATAGAAATCTGATTTATTATTATTTATATATAATTAATTAAAGGAAATTATTTATATTATCTTTAAGTGAACCGTGTTTTATCTATATATATTTATATTTTAATTGAATTATAACGGAAATGCTAAAGATTCTGATGTAGTTAATTAATTTTTATTTTATTATTTTATAAAATCTCATCGTTTTTCATATATTTTATATTTGTTATGATGCTATAATAAGCTATTTACTGTGCTATAGACTTTACGAGATGGAAGCAAGCTATGTAGGAATGCGTCAGCATTAATGCAAAATGAAGACGGGGGAGTTTAAATGAGGGTAGCTTGCAAATAGTCCAATGAATCTTGTTTAAACAAACATTATGTTGCGTATCAAATGGCGTGAAAATGAGAGCACTCGCTCCATAGAAAACGTTCTTTTCTGACGATTGCATTCTAATATAGATGTTAAAGTTATTTATACGATATAAATCATGTATTCTGTTTCAGGTAATATTCAATGTGTCCCGTAAGCATAATAACGCGGTTGTGAAATGTGAAGTTAGCAACGCAGCCGGCAAGAGCGAAGCAACTATTACTTTGAACGTCACTTGTAAGTTACTTATGATAATATGCATAAAGCTCATACAAGACGTTTCGTAAATAAATTAACTGAGCAAAATGACGTATTGAGCAGCTTTACCTTAGTTTAACATGCATTTATGTCAACATTGATATTAAGAAAGGTTATATTTTCTATGTATTTTTATTTAGTAACTAGTAAATATCTAAAGGCTCGTATTTGTTTTATATTTGGTTTGAATGATAATAATTAAACTTTTTTCATCCATAATCGATTTTGTATTAAAGAAAATAAATAAATTTATATTTTAATTCTTAGACAATTATTTAATAATTTGGCTATAGGAAAATATAAAATAAATTGTTAATATAATATTATTTAGTCATAGTAAAAAAATATTCAAGTCCTTAGTTTCTAATTACTTTCTGTACGGGAGAAGTGGTAGTTATAACAGCTAAATCCCTCTACAACTTACTAAAATATTTGGGCCTGTCCAGAACTAAAATCAATTTATTCATAGAACGTACTTCGAGTCCTAGTAGCTTTGTTTTAAGTTTTGTTAGGTAAAGAGAGGAGCTTGGACGGGGAAAGTGAGCGCGCGTTAGATAGGGGCCTCTTGAACGTACACCTGGGCCAAAAGTCCCATTCACTGTTGAAGCTCCTCTCCCTGAAATGCGATGGACCCAGCGCCCGCACGATCCATGGAATGATGAGAAGTTTCGTCTCTAAAATATCAATTTTTCTATAGATCCACCATCGTTCAGATCTCGACCCCAGAATATTGAATCCACAGTTGGTTCCAATGTCACCTTATTTTGCGATGTTGACGGTCATCCGAAACCGAAGATTCGTTGGCTGTTCCACGAGCCCGGAAAAATCGGGGTAAGTGAATACCATGTTGGAAAGATTTACTTTATCAAGAAATAGAGTCTATATTTACTGGACATCGTTATCCTGAGCATAGGTTAAATAAACATAGATTTATGAGCCTATATTTACTAGAAAATAAATACTATGAGGTTTGTTGCATTGAACATATTAGGATCTCTTTTCAAAGTTTTGTTCCTTATCGACCAAAAATATTGAAGAATGTCTCTTTGAAATCAGATACTTATTTATGTTCACGTACTTAATACTTTTTAATACAATACGTAAAATAGGTTTGTTGATGTGTGTTTGTTGTTTTTAAATTGCGTAAAAACTGACAAACCAGTTGTTTTAATATATAGAACTAGAATAGTATAGGTTTCTCTCCATAACATAAATATTTTAGTATCTAACCAGATAGTAAATTTCAGTCTTGTGTGTAAAGTCAGTTGTATACTATCACTAAGTATATTTTATTTAAGTATCACACATAACACGCTTAGTCTCTTATACGTGGCAGTTTTACGGGAAAGTGCAATAATTCCAGCAGGTCAAAGGAAAAGCTGCTAAATTTAGTGTCATGGTCAATGAGAATACAGCTGGAAGGTACATATGCAAGGCTACTGTTGATGGTTACCCAGATATTGAGAGTGAAGCCATCATATTCATAAAAGGTAATATTTTATATATATGTCTATATTGGGATGAATATGTATTCAATTTGTTAATATTAAATGAATTTTTTGGTCCATTTTACCGTAGCTGTTATGATTTTGAAAAGTTTTCAATTAAAATTGATCACATTTAATCCCGAAAAATGAAAGGTATTAATTTGTAAATTAACTTGGTGAATTGTATGTTCATAAGCCTTAATCCTAATACTATATTTAAAAGACAAAAACCGTTTTAAGTTTCATAACAAATTAACTTTATTTATTGGATTAAGTCAATATTTAAAACAACCAGCGAACCATATATATACATATATATATATATATATATATATATATATATATATATATATATATATATATATATATATATATATATATATATATATATATATATATATATATATATATATGTATATATATATATATATGTGTGTGTGTTTCAATTTAAATTTAATACAAATATTTTGTTTTTCTATCTTAAATTATCGGTATAAAATATTTTAAAATTATTGTCATAAAGTCGTATTTACTAAAATTATTTCATCCAGGTCCACCAAAAATATTATCAAATAGAACACAATCAGGAACAGAAGGTGAGACCGTGAGAGTGGAATGTTCATCTCTTTGTGTCCCAAAACCCGACGACATCAGATGGTATTTCGAAGGAAGAGAAATTAGCGCTATTCTTGACCCGGTAAGTTTGATTTAGTTGTATGCTAACAGTTACTACTAACAACTTTGTCATTTAGAACTCGCTCGGTGAACTTCGAGTACAAAAAATACGTTACAAATCGTAGGGGTAAAATCATCTCTTGACTTCAATGTCGACAAAATAATGGATATTTAAAATCGTTCATACATACTAGTAGCACTTAAAATTTCGAGAGACTTATAGAAGCTTATATAATTTTTATGAACAATATTTGATCGATAAATGTATGTGACCTTTCAATGTTAAATTTAATAATGTTTAATAATTGACGTCAATTTATTTTCATCGATTGTTCCTCCTACAAGCCTTTTTACTCTCAGCTGGTCTTCTAATAACAAAATAACAGGACAATATAAGGCACTCCTATAATAAAACAACATGACGTCATACACTAACCCCTTATCATAAAATAAATTGGAACATATTGTTTTAACCCCTAGAGTTCCATAGGGCTCATATACCTTGTTACAAGTCAATGACCTGTATTTGTTATTTTGGCCCTTATATTAAGTAAATTACAGTAAGAACAATTGCACACAACTTTATAGCACTACTAGTTTTTTTCAAGTCTATCTGTTTGTTTAATACTTATTCTATATAAGGTTTTATGATTGAGCCAAGAGCAAGGTCTAGTAATATTGGTTTATAATTTAAACTGTAATTTGCTCCTTAAAAGTAATTTACTTGTTTGTATATATAGGCTATAATGTAAGTGAAAACCAGTTCTCGTAGAACCACCACTTGAATAGAAGTACAAAAAAAGAAGCTTAATGCTTCGATATTAAAGAAGCTGTTACATTTGAGTGCGCTTGGAGTAAAAACTACCATTACGACTGTTAAGAAATTTTGAAGAATATTTACTAGGGAATAAAAGAGCATATAATTTTTCCTCTTAGGGAATTCTAAGTAATATTTTGTGTTATGTTAGAATAATTTAAAATACTCTACAAGTTTATAAATAAATGTTATCGTAGTTGAAATACTTTTTAATACTTAAAAAAAATATTACTCAATGACAGTTTTTTTATATGTATAAGTATTCTTTGCAGTATTTTTAAAATGCAATATCGTTTAACAAAAGGCATGATGTATCAGGACAAACGATTTAAGGCTTAAAGATTTAACAGAAAATAAATAACTTGATTTCATTTATTATAAATATTTTATTCATGTCTATTTTTATAAACTATTCATTCTAGGCCGATAATGGATTGAGTGATCGTAAAATTAATCCACAAAAATTGGATTCTCATAATTATTTGCCAGTTTTTTTTATATGCTATCATCAATCAGTCCTTTACTGCACATATTTCTTAATTAATTGGTTTTTTAAGTTGATTACTATTTTTTTATTAGGATTACGCGACATTGTTGGAGACATTACCTGATGGTATAACCAAGTCTAGTTTAGTAATACGATCCAGCCAGTCCAAACATTATGGAGTGTACAACTGTAGCGTTACTAACGAATACGGTAACGCCAATGCTGCTATCAGCTTAAAGCCTTCAAGTAAGTATATTATCATTAATAGGAATTGCAAAGAATATCTCAGTGAAAAAATATTCGTTTTAAACGCAACCAAAAAAAATCTACCGCAGACTAAGAGATTCCGACAAAAACATGTTTCTATATTAACAGGATATTGAGTTTTTTTTGCTTATAGACGTGAGAAAGAACTGAATAATATATAGTGATATTTTTTTTCAACAGAAACCCTACCACTCGTTATAATACTCATAGGATCTACGTCTGGTATAATAGTTTTCTCTGCGTTCGTCATACTCCTTGTTCTCTGTCATCGACGTAGAAGGAAGGACAGTCGTATCAATGAGAAGCCAGACGTTACTGTGACTAGTGGTGACTTATATAAAGAAAGTGACAGGAGCTCAAACATCAGTGATTTGAAATTACAGCTGCCTCAGAGTGATGGCAGCTATGATTTGGTAAGCTTTATTTGTAATAAGCCTTAAAAACTCAGTCATATGTTTTAATAATAATTATAAGCAGTTTTGGATAGCTATTATAGAAAGGGGTATAACAACGAAAACTAGAAATATATATTATTGTATCGCAAAGTGAACGTAATTTTCGATAGCATAAAATATGATAAAGGCACAAAAATATGATACTATTTATACTTCAGTTTGAACCAATTCATCAATTTTAATTTGTGTTTCACTGTACTTAAACATAGTAAGCAAAGCCGCGGTCAAAAGTTATAAATACTTTCATAGAATACAGGTCCATTAAGTTAAATGCCATTACAAGTTATCACATTAAGGAAATGTTACCACATGTAACGCTAAAAGCGTTGATCGTGTGTTGACTAAATGGAAATTGTGTTCAATTTAATTGATATCACTATTGTTTGGTAAATAATTTGTATTAATTATGACTATATTTGTATCTGCGAATATATTCAAATGTTTATATGTTTCTGTATAGTTTTCAAAACTACTGCTTTTAGAATAATTTTAATTGTGGAAAATAATCCATGAATACGAGATATCTGGCATAGAGAAAAATATTTGAAATAGCCTACCTAAATTTTAAAAAGATTAATCCGCCATTTAATGGGGCAAAATAGAATACAAAAGTTAGTTTAGTTTGAAAAAGGTTCACATGCATTCAAGTTCAATTAAACGATGAATAATCTTTTAAATTCCTAATTTTGAGTTAATAATATTGATTCAGTACACGAGAATATAACATCAAAGCATTTAATCCACAGATGATTCCTCTGTAAAATAATGTAACTATTGACTTCTAAACACATTCATTATTTTTTTAGTTTTTCATTAATAGAGAGAAATATTAAGATTCTCTCAAGAATTACTTTTCCAAAATATTAATTGAAATTTTAATAACAATATAAATTAAGGCGAATTACCTTGAAATGTATGAAAAATACAATTGACTTACCTTTCAAATTAATTCCAAACAGGAATACACTAGCTCAGACAGATCAGACGCAAAGCCTCAAGCAGGTTTACCACTCGCTGGTCCTGTGTTACCAAACATACACTCTGATAGCATGCTGCAGTTCAGATACAGCAATGACTATTCTGACCCAGCGTACAATGACCCCTACTTTAAGGTAAGTTTATTACAGGTAACTTTTAACTTACCTGACTTTTCGCTCTCAAAAAAGACTATTTAAATTCTGTATATTTTTTATTATTTTAAATTACTTATAAAATACTTAACATACATATATTTAGAATAAGTATTGTAATTACATATGCAAGTATTACCTTACCTTAATTATATAAATATACTTGTTATGTAGTTTTATATGCCACATTCCTTAATTCCTATATTTGTATGAGCAATATGATTATTATAGTAAATGAAATATAAGGCAATATTTTTTTTATCTAGAATCCGAACGCGTATGTTTACGACTACCCTCAAGGCTATCCACCGCCTGCACATTTGAGAGTACAGTCACCAACATTAGAAGTTCCACCTTCAAGGTAATTATCATACACATATATATTACACGTATTTACTTATTTAGTACCAAATATACTGTACAAGCAATTAAGTCAGTGGTAGCCTAGTGGTTAAAGGGCCCGCCTCTCGTTGCCGAGGGCACGGGTTCAAACCTGGCCCGGGCAAGTACCAATGTGATTTTTCCGAGTCATATGTACTTTCTAAGAGTATTTAGACATCACTGATTAATAGTGATTACCAAAAGAGGATTGATGTCAGACAGGCGACCGGTCGTAAAAACAGTTAGCCAAAACTATTCACAACATGTAAGGCAGACCCTGGCTATAGCTGGGAAATTGCCAGGTAGAAGAAGATAACAAGACAAGCAATATTTCATTACCTTCTCTATATAATTATTTAATTTATGTCAAGTTTAAATAAGTAAGATTGTTTTATAATAATAATATTAAATATTCCATACAGATCACTTCAAGGTTCATTGACCCGAAGTATAGACACGTCTTCAACTCTACCATTGTCAGCTGGCAATGGTTCCCAAAATAATTCATTACAACGAACGAAACACGACGAAACTGACGCCATTAATAATTTAGGTTTACCTGTCGGCGGGGAAGGTAATTATAAATATCTGTTTATTTTACTATACATATGTATAACTAGTTTGATTAAATATTTTGTCTAATAGTATAAAATAAGAATCTTTATGTGAAAACCATTACAATTGTTCTAATTATGTGTCATAATAAAAAAATATACGAAAAAATTATTGAATATGTAGTAATGAGATAATTTTCAGGTCCACAAGTACCAGTTTACGCACAAACTGGTCCAAAAACTAATCCTAGCGTTGACGTACGCTACGCCGCTACATACGGAAATCCTTACCTTAGAAATAGTTCTGTTGGTAAGTTGAAAGAAACTTATTTAACTCAAATTCCAATACATAATTATTTGAAAATTAATCACATTAATTTTGTATATCTTAATTTATGAGAAAAATACTAAAGTGTTTCAAAGTTTTATATAACGTAGCTATTAATTTAAATTTACCTATAACGTTATAGTTTAAGGTAAGTTACCTGTACGTAATTCATACTTACCTGTTAGGTTACCATACAGTGCATACGGCGAGGCCGGCTGCCACTCCCGCCCCGCCTCCTTACTCGCGTAACCAGCCAGGTACCTAGTACGTATATTTAAAATATAGGCACGGTGTGAGGATTGCATTATCTTTTATCTTTAATTAATAAAGTATAATTTGCAATATTTCTAGCATGAATTTCTGATTAATATTTTTATTTTTAATGCATTACCTCTTCTAATCTTCTTGTTTGTTATTCTGTTTACTATTTTGAATAGAACTAATATTGTTTTATTTTGCTTTCTATTCTTTAAAGCAGATAATCCATTACCGTATAGAATATCGACATTGGTTATAGTGAGACGGAGAAGTAAGTTTGCTTTTAGATCTTAAGATATTGCTAGATTTGAATTTAAAACTTGTTGTGTCAAGACTTAATTTATTTTCATATTTTTTGGTTGTTTTAGTATATGTAGGCATATTCAAAAATTCGTCGGCACATCCAAACCAAGTTATAAGCTTCATTGTATATTGACTTTAGACACAGATTTTTTAAAGTAAATTTCTTTATGCATGCTTATCTTGGGTAGAGAGGTAGTAAATGCATGATAATAGCGTTACGAAAAATGTAATTGGAAGTAAGTTGAGAGAGATATATATAAGTTAGTGAAAATAGAAAGAGAAAGTGTTACATTTTGTATATAAGAAACAGAGATTTTCTTTCGTTCTTTCTCTCATCGCCAGTTTCTAATAAAATAAAAATTCAATCTACTAATATTAATTCATTATTGAAAACACTTAAATAACTTTCAAAATTTGCATAAAATGTAAGTGTGTAAATGCATATAGATGAAACTAGAGTGATTTTATTTTGAAACACTGATTTTTTCGTCACTACAGACTATAAAAAGTTCCCAAAAGTTAGTTAAGTTCCTGATAAATTTAAACCAAAATTTAGCTTTAATAAATAGGAAATTGACAATTTATTATGATAAGAATCTTTGAAGTGAAATTTAAAACAAAGAAATATTTTGTATCTATACATATAATATATTGTGTAATGTGTTGTATAAATTGTTTTGGGAGTGGGTTTATCCACTTATTGACTGCAAAGAGGAAATTTGGTGCGTTAAAATAATAAAATATATATAAATTTAATACAGTATGTAGTAGCATGTCTAATGCATTTTAAAATAAGTTTTTTAAGCTTTAGTATTGCTATAACTTTTACGCTTTTAGTTGAGATGTTTTCAAATAGACATTCTTTTGTTTATTTTTTTCATATATGCACTTAGAAAATCCAAAACATTTTGATGATATTCTCATGACAAATATTTATTTCAATTGTTTTCTTTTAGGTAAAGGCAACGAGATTACCCACGCGACGCATGTGTAACAGTGTAAAATGAGACTTATGTGAAGTGTTTAAAAACTATTTTGCAATTCACAGTGTAATATATGTTCCTAAATAATAATTACGACTGACATGTAAATAGTAGACTAGTTGTAAATATGAACACATGAGCAAGATTCACAAAGTAAATAGCTTTTGTTTTATTTATAAAGTTTTTGCATGATAAATGTATTACATATACTTGATTTTATTATTCGTTTTTGTAATGAAAAATTTGTATTGCTCAAAGTGAAGGCTATAGATAAAAATATTTATGTATATATATTACCCAAATACATTTTAATGTGCCATGCCATAGTATAAACGATTGTAAAGTATTCCACTCTAGCAAAGAATATTAGATTAAATAAACAGACTGATCTTTGATATTGAATAACGAATGTTTAAAGATATAGATAATTTAGAAATGTCATCTATATTGTAGATAGAAAACTGTGATAATTATAGATATTGAAATTCAATTCATCTCGATACATTTTTTTTATATCTTCGTGTGTTTTAACCGCATATGTAGAGATTATTTTTTTCAAATGTATTATTGATTTGTATTATAGCGTTTTCATTTTCCTGCATGCGAGTATATTTTTTATTTGTTCCGAAAATAAATATTTGAGATACAATGTTCTTGATTTTATTACCGTTCCTCTTAAGATATTTTAAGTTCCCAATACGTGGAATATTGTCACATTGTTGCATTTTAAACAACTCGGCGTAAAACTTTCAAAATCGAAGTTATTAAGCATATACAGGGTGACTGGTGAATTACTATCGATATTTGAGGACGTGATATTTGACGATCATATATGACAAAATAAAAATTAATATAACATAAATATTAATAAACTACTAAGTAAAGTTAACCAAAAGTTATGTAATTAATTACGCATCGTGTGAGCACCCTACAGATTAGGTATACACTCACACTCACACATACGCGTGTCGTGACGTAGTGTTGTATCAGCACGCCGCCGCACGCGTCCACACTTTAACACTTGGAACGTGTCAACACTTTATTTATTTATACGGAAATTTTGTCAAAAATTAAGTGCCTATTTTTTTTACATAATTCGAATGAGAATCATGTACCGAGTATTCTCCTTAAATATTGATAGTAATTCACCAGTCACCCTGTATATTGTATTAACATACAGATTTTAATAATAGGATTTATTTACTTAAAATTTGAAGCTAAAGTTGAAAAACAAAGGCATATATAAATTTTAACTGCAGTGCTATAATATAGTATAAGAAATATACCTTTAAATGTCATTTCAAACAACTGTTCTTAGATCTTTATCCATCAATATAATACTCTTTTTACACTCATTTGAGATGTTTTTAATGTAAGCCCTAATGACTTTATGATGGGTACCTTTGATGTATATTTTTCTTTATACTTTAATTTCACTTGGTTACCGTTACGTACAATTCGATGAAAAAGCATAGTTGTAAGTATTTCAATGAAAGTAAGCTTTAAGAGTAAATTTAAGGGTTTTTTGACTATTTTTTAAGGACGTAATCCCGAGGTTTTGGTTCCTTTACAGCAACCGTGATTCTTTCATCTTACCTATCCGTGATCATTAGTTTCATTTAAGTGACTTAATGCGAAATATTAAATATTATTAGTAGTATTTTATGAGCCATTGCGAAAAATGTTTTTTTTTTCATTTTTGGAAAAATATTCGAAGTATAAAATGTTTATTTTTGTATAATTAAAGTAAAATTTTTAAACAGCTCTCTCGTTAATTAGCTCTTAATAAATATAAAAGATAAGTAAAGATATTAAGAAATAATTAAACTAAATAAATCATCGTCTTTATATCTTTATCTGTAGCAAGACGAAGTGTTGGTTTGATTTGTACCAACAAAATATAACATTAGAAAATAAACTTTATGTGAACTGTTTAGAGTTTGGAATTCTTCGTTTATTTAAACTTGTGACAAAACGAGTTTGTCAACACAACATTGAGTTCAATCTTGTAATAATAAAAAGATATGAAGAGTGTTAGAGCTTCAACTTTGTTAATTAATAAATAGCATCTTCTATTATATTAATATTAATATTTATATATATATATATTAGAAATAACTTGAGGATTTAATATTTTGAAAAAACAATTCGAAATTATTCATAAAAGTTTAGAGTAACTCATACTTTTGTATCATAAGAAATAGTTAGAATTTCTTGCGAATATTTTGTGCTTTTACGTGCATGCATACATCATCCCTAAAAGCCTTCTAAATCTTTTTGATAAACAGTTTGAATGTACAAAGTCTTTCTCTTATATGTAGGATTCGATTAAGACTAAGTATCTCGGGGATTTGATTTTTTGTAGATAAAATACTATAGATTATACCTATAACATATTATGTACGTAAAAACATGTGTTTCACAAATACCTTAATATAATTACACACAGAAGTCATAAATAGAAACATTCCAAGTATTTGAATAATATAACAACAATTAAATGCACTTGTGGAGTTGATTTATAGTGCAAAACGTTTAACTCAAAACAATTTTGGTAAGTCACAGTATAGTTCACCAGCTTTGCTTAACTGATGCTGAATATTTCGCTTTATTTACTCCATAATTCTGTAAACTGGATATACATATATTCAAATATAAGGTATCTAAACATTTAAAATACCAAAATTTAAAGCAGAATATTCACGTTCTCACTTTATATCCCGACAACATGGTCGTTTGAGATGGACAAATATTTGTATCATACATACCTTTTATGGCCGCAATATAGTATTTCACTCAGCTGTGTTATAGTCCTGAATTTTGTTACACGAAATGCTGCATTATGTCGTAAAGTATGAAACATATTGACGTGTCGTATACTTTATGTCATCGTAAAGCAAACGTTACAAGCTATTACTTAAGTGATATCCATGTTATTAATTGACTTGTAAATTATATTTCTTATATTTATTATGACAACAATTGTTTAGGATAAATACTTTTATTGCTTTACCCCTTTTACGTGTTATAAACAACTTAACAGTTAAGTCACCTTACTACCGGTTTCTGGTCTTAAACAAAACTAACAGTTTCTAAGTTTCTTATTACATATTGTGAATAGTTTTGGCTTTTTGCTTTTTTACGATCGGCCGCCTGCCTAACATCAACCGTATTTTGGGAATGCATTAATCAGAAATACTTTTAGAAAGTACATATGACTTGGAAAAATCACATTGGTACTTGCCCGGGCCAGGATCGAACCGGCGCCCTCATACATGAGAGGCGTTCCTTTTAACCACTAGGCCACCACTGACTATTCTTGTTATTAAGTCACGAATTTCATTCTTTGGATACAGATAGTAATACAGATCCATTATATTATATTACGCGATTATATGATAGAAGAGATTTATTTGTCCAGATGTGTTCACCCATTTAACGAAAAGTATGTTTTCGTCGTATATTTTTACATCTTTATAGTATTATTCTTTAAGTTATTTTATCGCTGAAATATAATTCCAAGTAATTTAATGTTAAATTGAAAGTTATTGGTTTTTTAAATTTATCAATTCTAGTGATTGGAATTTTAATGACCGAATTGGTTTGGTCACTTGGCATTTAAATGCAGATTGTAGTTGTTCAGAGTGGATGTGCATTAGAAATTTAATTCCAGACATTTGAACATAACTGTTTCATTTATCAGTAGTACCAAAAGTTTTATTCCAACATTATTAGTTAATTCGTATTTGTATAAAGAAATTTATAATTTTTATTGACATATTAAGAAATTACGTGTCAATATGTTTAGGAGTTCGTTACTTTTTTATTTATAGTGACATTCTAGTCTTTAAAGTAATAGTATAATTAAAACCCTTCTAAAAATGTACACAATTTACTTAGATTAATATGTAATGGAATGTTAAAAATCCCATATAAAATCTCATATATATTAAGAAAATTTATGTTGTGTTAGAAACTTCCTTTATTATAATTTCATTGATGGAATTT